TCACAGTCATTCACTATCATTCTCGTCGATGCGCAAGCTGTCGTGATCACTCACGGCCTTCTCGCCCCTCCCCCTATACGGTATAGAATACGATTCCAGTCAGGCATCTCATCACGCACAACACTGTTGTTTAGGTAGCAGTGTACCGCAGAGAGTTGTGGCCATGGGTGATATTTTTGTTAAATGGCTAACCCCTGTATAATGATATGTAAACAAATTATAAAAATAAAACTGTACTAAAATTGGTACAAGCATGATGAAGTGGGCTATGTGAGCTTCACATTTGTAAAAAAGAAAGAAGATTTTTTTGGTTCGAGAATAAATTTTTGGTTTTCACACGAGTGACATACATAGAAAAAAGAGGTTTATACATTTCTCAGTACTTTATATGCATTGTAAATATAATGCAGTTTACAAATATATATACATGTATACATGTGTTGTGTAGGGTAAATCCGCTGTGTTTACATTTCCTCCACATGTGCCTTGTTTATCAGAGTCGGGCCATTTCTACTGTATACTGCTACCTTACAATCAATTTCGCCGGGAATATGTTAGTAGCCGTTTTAGATCCGTTTGAGCAGAGTTATCAGGCGATATTAAATCAATAGTCCGTTTGGCTGACCACACAGGTGTGGCGTATGCGGTGGCCTGTTAATGCATGATGAACCCACCTGACACATTCTCGTTTTTGAAATCGGAGACATTCCAATGACCCTGATGTGTTGACAATTATCAAATTTGATAATATACCTCTAGCAGCCAGATATTACCCACCTTCGTTCTACATACACTGCGTACCGTATAATACGGGAGATGTGTGTCTGCTCGATCACAACTATCGGATGAGGAAGTAAAGTCAACAAAATTGCCAGCATTTCGATCTGTTTGTTTGTTGTGATTTTGTCAGTATTTTTAATCTTGTTTTGTTGCCTCTAAAATTTTCTTGATAATTTTCTTAAGTCATAGGCTTTATTTGTCGTAGGCATGAGGTGCATTCTGATCATCAACAGCCGGGTTTCGTAGGCAAGAAAAGTAAACTTATCATTATTATTGTCTAAATTTAAATGAAAGTACATAATATTGCCTATCTTTATCCGGCTGTCCCCTATACAGCAATCACCTACATGTATCTGAGTGTCCCTTGTCCTCGCTATATACCCGACAAACGTTACCCAAAACGAGGCATATTGGTGAATAGACCTTATTAGCATAAGTACATCTCATGATAATTCGGTGGGGAAAATATTTGTTTGCTAAGTTTATTTATATAACACATCGACAGATGGCAAGTTTATATAACACCTCGCGTAACAGGAATATAAGCCAAGTTACATACCAACGTGATAAATTTTTAGTGAAAGTTATCTCAGAAAAGTGATAATGTATCGACACCCCTAAAACGCCATTGCGACACATTCGTATTTTGTATTTACATCTATGTTCATTATATTGTTGCGGTTTCGTTTTATACTGGATTTAGAATAAGCCATTAAGGTAATAGGATTGTGTCGCCATTTCTCAGTAGAATTTCTCCAGATTTTGTAGTTATATTGCTTTGAAGAAAAGAAAATTTCCTGTCACAAAACAAAATATAGGTTGTCAGAATTTTAAGGATTTTCAATGGAAATTTAAGTAAACAAGGGTGAATTTGGAATTTTTTTTAAAAAAAATTGCAAAATAATGTCAATAAAAATGATAGTGACATAGATTAGTATCGCATTAATGTATATCGATTTCATAAATGCTGAATTTGTGTAAAATTAATTATCTATAAACGATTAAAAATTGACATATCATAATAAAACCATATGCACATAGTAATTGCATGTAAGAGTTATCGTTCTTGAAAAACTTTACAGTAGTGAAATAGGTAGCCGGTTTCTGAAGTACAGCAAAAATGGACACATGTGACTCATTGATAAAAGAACAACTGAATTATTGTCTGGATTGCTTTGAAATACTTTAATATTGAAAGAACACACTGTTCTGTCAATAAACAACATACAATATTCATCAGTTTAATATTAAACATTAGAATATGCGGAAATTGTGATACTGTCTCCCTACATTGGGTTTTCAACTAGGGATGTACTTCCTATTTCCGCTTAGCAATACACTCCTATGACGTTAATACACCTGGTACGGATTATATGTTAAATCTAAATGTAAGAATTTTTATTAATGATGCATACATTGACCATAGCTGTTTGTTTTTAGCAAAGAAAATAGTATAAATGATTTTATGAAGATTATTCCTTTAAAGAAATATATATATAAATAAAACATGCCCCTTTCTTTCTGTTGATTAAAGTTAATCTATTTATAAAATATAAACTAGACGACGATAAAACCAATTATCAATTTCCGCAGTTATCGCCTAAACAATTGAGTGTTGTATATGAAATAGATAAAAGGTGACTTCTATAATCACATGTCGGTGGGGTTATCATTGTAGTGTGCTCTAGAAGTGACCTCAGGTAACTACGCACCGTGCTGTATCCTGTTTTTTTGGTTCCAATTACCAATGAAACGATGGTACTTCACGCGCTTGTATTTGTACAGCTTTGCTGTATACATATCTTCATTAACATCACAACATAATTTGTTGAAAGCGTATAATGCTTAAGATTATAGCAGAAAACGTTAGATTTTCGTTCAGTTGTTCGTTCAGAATTGCACAAAACCTTTTTTTCAACTATAACGTCAACATTAAGTCAACTCATCTAAAACTTTATTGATGCAGTCATAGATAATTGTCGTTGTACATATGGCAGAAAATACCATAAACCAAATATCAATATTCTTGCATACTCGTGAAAATTGTATAATAATCAACAATATATTGCCAACTACGCCGGAGTAGAGCCCGGGCCCATCCGCGCCACATTGTTCAAACACTTTCTCTTACATACCAATGCCGATTTCATATTGAATTGGCGTATACCGCATTCTTTAAGTGGGATGAAATTGTAACTACAAAGTGAAGAGTTCATTCTGTCTTAACCTGTCACGGTTAGGGAATCATTTTCCACATTTGAAAGGCAATAGTCATCTAAACATGTACATTTCAATTTCCAAGAAATCACGTTAGTGACGTTGTTGCATTTTTCACAATACCTTTTTTTGAATGTAACATTTATTTTGACATCGGAAACTCGCAAAAATTCCATAAGGTTTGTGTTTATCAACTCGTCATACTTTCGCTTCGTTTCATCGTCTTGCCATTTGTTCAAACATATCGACACCATACATGCTCTAACCATGTAGCGATTGTCTTCGTAGTCGATGGATTCGCATGTCGACCTTTTTATAAAAGGAAACATTTCAGACGTGCCTTTTTCAACGAGTTTCGTATTCGAATCAAAACAACAGTCATCGTAATATTTGCATAGGGTATCACATCTACAGTAAACATTTAGTGATCTACTGTACCAGGAGTAAAACATGTGCTTGCAATCTTCCCATGTCATAAAAGCTGCAACTTTTAACGTAGGCAAAATGTAAAGAATCTTTAACAATACAATGTAACCTATACCTTCAATAAACGTAGTCATGGTTGTAACATATATTTTAACTTAAACAAATGTCTTCCTACAATGAATATTCATGAGACATTTTCAGCGCCTTTTAACATAATTAAGCAACATTAACGTGAAAACTGTTCACCTGTAATACTGTTTGCGATCAAACTGTCTAAATAGAAGTATATACTTTGCTCCTTGTAGTCATTCATTTCCTGCCCAACAATACCGATATCCTAATTGCTGAGGTCCTAGAAGTAGTGGCTAGATGACGTGGGCGGGGCTTGCGGAATACTGAGTTCAAGTTACTGGGCGCATCTTCAACTACTCACGAAAACAACAACAGTGAGTTGGTATTAAACGTGTTTACTACCCTGGCTAAATAACTGTTCAGATGTGTAACCTGAGCTCGTCACTTAGCACTGACCTCCATTTGCTGTGATTTCCAAAGCTGTTGATTGCAAAGATATTTCCCTATTTATTGTCAACCTCGCCGTATGTCCGACTACCAGCCATTATTTCTTTTATTTCTTTCTGCAAATACAGTTTCACTGGTGATTTCAGCTGAGTTTTGCGGTCAAAAGTTCATGTTTTATGGCAATGGCAGGTGTTGTATGGGCAGAGTATAAGTATTGCTGCCAGTGAAACACTATACCTATAAACTTACCTCCCTATGAAAGAATTGCTCTAGAACACGCTCTGAAATATCGGATAGCATGGCTATTTAAAGACCTACGGAGCCTAACTAAGATTTAAAGTATATGTGATATACTGTTCAAAATGAAGAGAGAGATATGTTTATTTGAGAATGTATTGTTGGGAATGACGGATATATTAAGCAACTGTGTTGTATATCTTTCTGATATTTATATTATGAACTTATGTGTAAACGCCAAAATAATATCACAATGCAATTTTTAAATTTCAGCTTTCAGGATTGTACTTCAAGTATTACTTACCAAATAATCACAAACGCATTGCTGATATTTAATACGATAATAATTGCATTATCAGCGGAAAACATCACAAAAGTCCGATTGAGATATGTGAAGAATATATTAATATTTATCAGAATATCGCACACACGGCAGTATTTCCAATATATATAAAGATTGATATTAAAGGCTTCTTAACCCAACATATTTCATGAAAAATAGTATCGTTTATGTTTTTTAAATTAAGAACATTTTCTCGAGAATTTTTTCCAATATACAAAAAGTTTAATATTGAGGGCTACTTAACTCAAAACATATCATGCAAAACGTTATCGTTAAAGGTTTATTTATCTTATTTTGGAAAATTTCTCGAATATATCAAGATATTAAACAAATTGTCAAGAACGTGGATTATTGAACTCAAAATCAATAAAACTAGGGCAAAATATAAAAAGGAAACGTTGACATTACCCCTCCCCTTAAAAACACTCAAGGACAAGAAGTAGCGACTAATGCGCATTATGGAATATATTTTAACGGAACTGTGTTACATTCCCTAACAAATGTTAAACAGATGCATTTCAAACCTTAATCAAAAGTATGTCTAACCACTTACAATCGCCCACTTTCGATAAACTTATCTTCCTGTCTTTGTGTCTATCTGACCGTTTTTATCTCTCCGAATGCTAAACATTCATTTGGAAAAATACACAACTGCTTCTGGAGTCATTTTTTCCTTAACCGTGCTAAGTTGAGATTTATCAGATTCCGTTTTCAGACATTAGAATACTGAGCGCGGCAGGAGTGCAGGTTCCCAATCAGATTAGTTGATATGCTTTAAATGAGACAGTTCTCTTTGAATTTGTTTACTAAATCAGCACGTTTTTTTTCCAATTCAGTAGAATTTATTGAATAAGGTTGCTGAAAACAAAACATTTCTAAAACGTTAAGTATTTTTAGACAGTAATTTATATAAACATAACAGGCAAACTATTAACATCGGACCAAAACAAGTTTGAATGCGTGTGCTATACTCTATCTTTCTATATATATTCTTTGATACCCTATTATTATGTGTGCTATACTCTATCTTTCTATATATATTCTTTGATACCCTATTATTATGTTTGCTATACTCTATCTTTCTATAGATATTCTTGGATACCCTATAAGTATGTGTGCTATACTCCATCTTTCTATAGATATTTTTGGATACCTATTGTTATGTGTGCTATACTCCATCTTTCTATAGATATTCCTGGATACCCTATTATCATGTGTGCTATACTCCCATATTATTATGTTTGCTATACTACATCTTTCTATAGATATTCCTGGATACCATATTGTTTTGTGTGCTATACTCCATCTTTCTATAGATATTCTTGGATACAATATGCTTATGTGCTACTTTTACAGACAAGTCCGGTAGTGTTAGAATATTGGTCGAAATGTCCAAATTCGAATTTACGAAAAACTACATGTTTTTAAAGATGTTTACTCAGTATGGCCATTGATGTTGACCGCCTGTTTCGACTCATACGGAAAAAACGGAATGTATTTCATGACTCTTGACTTCATCCACGTTTTTGGTATAATAGGGTTGTACACCTCTAGTCCTTCACTATACTGGAACAAGTTGTCTCCCTTGCTTGGATTCTGCCATGCTGTTATACCTCGCTCATCCAATGTACCTGGGTAATATACAATAAGATTTATAAAATTTATATTGATGAATGTACTTGTTAAGCTATATTGAATACATTACCAAAAGGAATGGCATATTGAGGGAAATATCAACACACCAAATATAAAAGGTAGGTCATGTCACCAATGTGGTTTAATTCATGTGCAGATCCTTCACCATTCCATGATATAAACGTCTGTTTTAAAATTATGGATGAAGTGACCTGACTATCAACCATGCGAAGAAGTCACATGTTATAAAGAGTCACTACGTAATACTGCTTTGTTAAGTCACATGTTATAAAGAGTCACTACGTAATACTGCTTTGTTAAGTCACACGTTATAAAGAGACACTACGTAATACTGCTTTGTTAAGACACACGTTATAAAGAGACACTAGTAATACTGCTTTGTTAAGTCACATGTTATAAAGAGACACTACGTAATACTGCTTTGTTAAGACACATGTTATAAAGAGACACTATGTAATACTGCTTTGTTAAGACACATGTTATAAAGAGACACTATGTAATACTGCTTTGTTAAGTCACACGTTATAAAGAGACACTACGTAATACTGCTTTGTTAAGACACACGTTATAAAGAGACACTAGTAATACTGCTTTGTTAAGTCACATGTTATAAAGAGACACTATGTAATACTGCTTTGTTAAGACACATGTTATAAAGAGACACTATGTAATACTGCTTTGTTAAGTCACATGTTATAAAGAGACACTACGTAATACTGCTTTGTTAAGACACATGTTATAAAGAGACACTATGTAATACTGCTTTGTTAAGTCACATGTTATAAAGAGACACTACGTAATACTGCTTTGTTAAGACACATGTTATAAAGAGACACTATGTAATACTGCTTTGTTAAGTCACATGTTATAAAGAGACACTACGTAATACTGCTTTGTTAAGACACATGTTATAAAGAGACACTATGTAATACTGCTTTGTTAAGTCACATGTTATAAAGAGACACTACGTAATACTGCTTTGTTAAGACACATGTTATAAAGAGACACTATGTAATACTGCTTTGTTAAGACACATGTTATAAAGAGACACTATGTAATACTGCTTTGTTAAGTCACACGTTATAAAGAGACACTACGTAATACTGCTTTGTTAAGACACACGTTATAAAGAGACACTAGTAATACTGCTTTGTTAAGTCACATGTTATAAAGAGACACTACGTAATACTGCTTTGTTAAGACACATGTTATAAAGAGACACTATGTAATACTGCTTTGTTAAGACACATGTTATAAAGAGACACTATGTAATACTGCTTTGTTAAGTCACACGTTATAAAGAGACACTACGTAATACTGCTTTGTTAAGACACACGTTATAAAGAGACACTAGTAATACTGCTTTGTTAAGTCACATGTTATAAAGAGACACTAAGTAATACTGCTTTGTTAAGACACATGTTATAAAGAGACACTATGTAATACTGCTTTGTTAAGACACATGTTATAAAGAGACACTATGTAATACTGCTTTGTTAAGTCACACGTTATAAAGAGACACTACGTAATACTGCTTTGTTAAGACACACGTTATAAAGAGACACTAGTAATACTGCTTTGTTAAGTCACATGTTATAAAGAGACACTAAGTAATACTGCTTTGTTAAGACACATGTTATAAAGAGACACTATGTAATACTGCTTTGTTAAGACACATGTTATAAAGAGACACTATGTAATACTGCTTTGTTAAGTCACACGTTATAAAGAGACACTACGTAATACTGCTTTGTTAAGACACACGTTATAAAGAGACACTATGTAATACTGCTTTGTTAAGTCACATGTTATAAAGAGACACTATGTAATACTGCTTTGTTAAGTCACACGTTATAAAGAGACACTACGTAATACTGCTTTGTTAAGACACACGTTATAAAGAGACACTATGTAATACTGCTTTGTTAAGACACATGTTATAAAGAGACACTATGTAATACTGCTTTGTTAAGTCACACGTTATAAAGAGACACTACGTAATACTGCTTTGTTAAGACACACGTTATAAAGAGACACTATGTAATACTGCTTTGTTAAGACACATGTTATAAAGAGACACTAGTAATACTGCTTTGTTAAGACACATGTTATAAAGAGACACTATGTAATACTGCTTTGTTAAGACACATGTTATAAAGAGACACTATGTAATACTGCTTTGTTAAGTCACACGTTATAAAGAGACACTACGTAATACTGCTTTGTTAAGACACACGTTATAAAGAGACACTAGTAATACTGCTTTGTTAAGTCACATGTTATAAAGAGACACTATGTAATACTGCTTTGTTAAGACACATGTTATAAAGAGACACTATGTAATACTGCTTTGTTAAGTCACACGTTATAAAGAGACACTACGTAATACTGCTTTGTTAAGACACACGTTATAAAGAGACACTATGTAATACTGCTTTGTTAAGTCACATGTTATAAAGAGACACTACGTAATACTGCTTTGTTAAGACACATGTTATAAAGAGACACTATGTAATACTGCTTTGTTAAGTCACACGTTATAAAGAGACACTACGTAATACTGCTTTGTTAAGTCACATGTTATAAAGAGACACTATGTAATACTGCTTTTTTAAGTCACGCGTTATAAAGAGACACTACGTAATACTGCTTTGTTAAGACACACGTTATAAAGAGACACTATGTAATACTGCTTTGTTAAGTCACATGTTATAAAGAGACACTACGTAATACTGCTTTGTTAAGACACATGTTATAAAGAGACACTATGTAATACTGCTTTGTTAAGTCACATGTTATAAAGAGACACTACGTAATACTGCTTTGTTAAGACACATGTTATAAAGAGACACTATGTAATACTGCTTTGTTAAGTCACATGTTATAAAGAGACACTACGTAATACTGCTTTGTTAAGACACATGTTATAAAGAGACACTATGTAATACTGCTTTGTTAAGTCACATGTTATAAAGAGACACTACGTAATACTGCTTTGTTAAGACACATGTTATAAAGAGACACTATGTAATACTGCTTTGTTAAGACACATGTTATAAAGAGACACTATGTAATACTGCTTTGTTAAGTCACACGTTATAAAGAGACACTATGTAATACTGCTTTGTTAAGACACACGTTATAAAGAGACACTATGTAATACTGCTTTGTTAAGACACACGTTATAAAGAGACACTATGTAATACTGCTTTGTTAAGACACACGTTATAAAGAGACACTATGTAATACTGCTTTGTTAAGACACACGTTATAAAGAGACACTATGTAATACTGCTTTGTTAAGACACACGTTATAAAGAGACACTATGTAATACTGCTTTGTTAAGACACACGTTATAAAGAGACACTATGTAATACTGCTTTGTTAAGACACACGTTATAAAGAGACACTATGTAATACTGCTTTGTTAAGACACACGTTATAAAGAGACACTATGTAATACTGCTTTGTTAAGTGACACGTTGTAACGACTTTATACTGTTTTGTCAACTTTGAATGTTGTCAATCTAACTATATAACGAGAAACTGCCTAATACTGCTTTGTACACTGTGCTTTTGTGGTTATTATCACATCGTAACGAGAAATTGCCTGATACTGCTTTGTCCATTTTACTTGATGTCGTTCTTACATTGTAAAAAGAAACTGCCTCATACGTTCTTGTCCACATTGCATGTGGTAAACGTGAACTCACCTGGTACAGTGTTGTCTAGAAAACAGGCAAGTATTCCTCCACACAAATTCGGACTGACAAGAAGAGTTTTCAAAATGTTGTCGTAATAATGACTCCCTATATAACAAATATAGTATCAATACAGATCAACGCCTGATATAACAAATATGGTATCAAAACAGATCAACGCCTGATATAACAAATATAGTATCAATACAGATTAACGCCTGATATAACAAATATAGTATCAAAACAGATTAACGCCTGATATAACAGATATATGAACAAAACAGGTAAACTGCTGATATAACAGATATACTAACAAAACAGTTAAACGCCTGATATAACAGATATAATAACAAAACAGTTAAACGCCTGATATTGCAGATATACTAACAAAACAGTTAAACGCCTGATATTACAGATATAATAACAAAACAGATTAACGCCTGATATAACAGATATACTAACAAAACAGTTAAACGCCTGATATAACAAATATAATAACTAAACAGTTAAACGCCTGATATAACAGATATAATAAAAAAAAACAGTTAAACGCCTTATATTACAGATATAATAACAGAACACATTAAAGCCTGATATTTACAAAAAGAACATTTTACAGCAAAAATGGTTAATACAATCATACAAATTAATTCACTGCCTTTAACTTGTGGATGACCCTATATTGTGCTGAATTGTGTGAAAGTTAATTTTTAGACAAAAAATTATAGAAAAAGGATCATCAAGATGGCAACCATTTTGAGATAAAGGTATACATACCTGTGTTGAGGTCGTCGGGAAAGGCTNAAAGAACATTTTACAGCAAAAGTGGTTAATACAATCATACAAATTAATGCACTGCCTTTAACTCGTGGATGACCCTATATTGTGCTGAATTGTGTGAAAGTTAATCTATAGACAAAAATTTGTAGAAAAAGGATCAGCAATATGGCAACCTATTTGAGATAAATGTATAAATACCTGTGTTGAGGTCGTCGGGAAAGGCCTCCAGCCAATAAGGTACCATCAAACCTACAAGCAGAGCCGTCCCGATGATTGCTAGGTTTCGAGTGGAGGATAGAGACACTACTTGCAGATTAGAGAGTATGATACCGTTTAACATTCCGAACATTATTATCATGGCGCCACCTAGGACAGGTACTGGAATGGTAATGAAGACAGCCGAGACCTTCCCAACGAGACCGAACACGATGTAGATCAAGGACACCCACCAAAACACATCTCGACTAGCTACCTGTAATCATACAAAGTTTACACTCGTAAGTCTGATGATTTTTTGTGGTTACCTCGCTTGAGACCTAAACAACCATGAGGATGAACAGAGTCTGTTCATTATATAAGAACAAAATATAGAAAAATAACACGGAATGCATAGACAATACAACAAGAGAATACCAAAGTGCAAACAAAATGATAAATCGAACTCCGAATAATTGAACATGGGCAAACTATAAAAAAGGAAAGATTAATAGCTTACCCTTACCAAATAACATAGGTAATAAGACCAAGTCTTCCGGAAGAGTTAATCTCTTTTGCTTATAAAATCGTCGACACCCTATTTGTAAAATCAACGTCAAGTCCCCGCTTTGAAATGCAATCGCAGGTACGGATAACGAAATAAAAAGGCATCATGATGAGTTTAATAAAAAAAAACAATGAACAGCCTTTAACAAAAGTAAATGGAATTTATCCTTATTAGCTCATGACATATAAATTATAAATGTTCATTTATTTACATTCCCATCGATGAAACAAAAGTATAATTCACCCCTGTTACTCCTAAAGCCCCGATGTTTCCGCCGGAAGTGGTAGTTGCGTGACCACAACCAAATAACCCGGAAAGAATACTACCAAACCCCTCGACGGCAATCCCCCGGTTGACGGCATGTCGTGGTGGAGGTGGCACGTTACACACTCTCGCACATGCGTAGTAATCGCCGATGGAGTCAAGGATTGAAGTGACCGTGGCGATAAGGAATGCGATGAAAATACCAGCATTAAAAGTTGGCGGCCCGAACCTATCTGTAAACATCAAACAAGCTATAATTAATATGTGAACATCCTTTTCGTTTGTTACACGAACTATTTTTGGCAATGCCTAAATTAATTAAAACAACAGTCTGGCTAATGAATCACTTACGTTGCATACTACAATTGAATTAATAATTAAGAAATCTCTGAATATTATTTCAACATACAATCGGCTATCATGAAAATAAATAAGATCAAAGGTATTAACTTGAAATAATCAAATACAGTTATCGTCCCTCAATTGCAGGTTTATTGAACGGAACTCTTTTAAAATGGAGATACCAATAGCAGTTAGGTAACATATTCCTTTAACACTACAAACTTGGATAAGGCATTTTGAACCAGGTAGCCATAGTAATGATCCCTGATCGTGCATCAATACGCGCCATGTATTGAGAATTATCCGGATCGTTCGTCAATGCTCCTGTCACAGTCATGATGGCCGACATCCCCCATCCAACCAATATACCGATCAAAATCTGAAATATGTAAACAAAACGTAAATGTTTGACACATTTACTTATCAATTGATTGCTGGAATAATCACTGATACGCCATATAGCATGCAATTTTGCTTTAAATGGCAAAAACCGTTAATTTTTAATTGATTTGCAATAATCCTTCATTATGTCTTTGGAAAAATTCATGGATTTGTTTTTATTTTGTACGAGACTTTCACAGATATTGTTCGAAATGGCTCTATTTAGCTTATCTGAATACTGCGCAAATGATTCCTTTTATTCCTTTCATAGATCTTGTCGGGAATGGAAACTCATAATCATATACTATATATATTTACATACGTATACTGTTGTACTGTCAATGTACTTGTAAGCAGACCACATAATTACAGAAGCTTGCTGTACATTTGATGACAATACGACAGCATATAAATAAAGACAGTAAACATCTGCAATATAAAAGAGCCATTTTGCTAAACAGATTAGGTTGACAGACAAACAAAAAACAAAAACAAAAGAAAAATTAACAAAACCTGTTTAGTACAGTTGAAAAGGACAACACTGCAATTAGATGGACAATATAATTAAGGTAAGGTGGCCGTGAAGGTTGAAGACGAAATTATTTTAAATCCAATGCAAAAGGCCACTAACAACATGATGGCCATGGTCTTTATCAACAAACATTAGGAGTAGGTATAAACAAAAAAGCGTAAAATCTGAGACCCATTGTTTTAAGTCAACACAACCGTATAGCATCTATTAACGGAAATTGAGGGCAGGTTAAATATCAACGTACCAAAATCCAACATAAGAAGATTACATAGAGCAACATACAACCAAGATATGAAAAGGCATTTATTTTTGAAAGAACAATAAGATCCTTACTAACAAATTTAATGATACCACTGTCCTGTAACTGAAGAGTTAAACCGTATCTAATTACAAAACAAGATCAATAGAAATAAGGCGTTATTATCCTTCCAGTAAAACAATTAGCATTCCAAAACGAAAGAATAATAACGATATGTGTTAAGGAGCTAGCATTCAAAATACCGATGAATGTTGATTATAATAATGAGTACATACAGTAAGACATGACAGAAAAATAGACACGAGTCCTTACGATAGGTTGAAGGAAAGCAACATGAAAGCAAATAAGTAATCACCGAAAATACTTGATGAAAAGGATACCAGTACCAGTAAAAACCTCTTGCTTTGGACCATGCTGGACAAGGCATCTTCTTGTTTCCAAGGTAAAGTGATAACAGTATTGCTGTCCCGGCCGTCCTAATCGGAGTAAATGCAGTATGTTCTATTAGCGGAAAGCATTTTTCAAGTAGTGTTTGGCAAGCCCTAAAAAGACTCATTCGATGAAGTTGAAAAATAATCCAGATTTATTTGTATTACATTGTAATTTTATCCTTTTTGTAAAGCTATGAATTTGTTCTCAACCAAAATATAACTGCAAAATGTTAAAAAGTGTAAAATATCACAAAGTGCGCTCATTTGTGCATGTGCCTTTGATTAAGTTTACTACAGTGCTACATTGTCAATTGTATCCCTAAAAAAATATCAAATACATTTAATCAAAACTAAGTTGACTACAGGAATACATTGAGATGGTAAAAGTAATGACACTTGAAAAAGGTTTCTTAATGTATAACAAAGTCATCCAACTTTTGTTTTCTTTTTGCAAGAATATTAATCACAAGTGACATAGTTTACCATGATACATATACAGCAGTAAAATAATGGTTTTGTTCCAAGAAACAAAGCACGACCAATGATTCCGAAGGTATTTTGTTGTGATATAAATGCATAGCAAACGTGTCATCCAAATTACTTTGCATTATCCACTTTTTGACGAGACAAATGTTGCTCAAACACAAAAGTGTATTTTGTTATAAATCGCTTCAGATTCATACATTGCTTGTAAAGTTTAAGTGATTCAGATTAAGAACAAAATAAGCAAAGCACAACAAAAACACAGACTTAATCACCCCATGTTGGATTTATATAAAAATGTCAAACCTGAATATGTTGATATCAATTTGATAATGAATCAAAATATATCTCAAATAACATTTGAACACTGAATTTTACTGCAACAACTAACGATTAATGTGTTTTGTATGATCTTCAAAACCTATTCACAAAGTTTTGATTGCATTTATTGTTAATAACCAAAATCCGTTTGATAAGAATACACCAGCATAGTTTGTATATGTTGTGTCCAGGAGATTTCTATTTGTAAGTTTCACCAATATAGAGATCTAGAGCGTTACAAACCGAATCACAACACGACGTAATAACAAATAAATTGAACCACTTTATAAACAGAACAGTATTTAGATCAATTTTCAATTTCCGTTTTACTTCCCCTGGTCCCCTGGACAGATGTATCCACACTTTTTCCTGATGTGAGATATACTTTTCTCTTTTACTGGACGGATGTATCTACACATTTCCCGGTGTGAGATATCCTTATCACATCCTAGAGTTGAGACGGGGGAAAAATTGTGTGACGTAACGTAAACAAAGCGTGCACGCCCTTAAACAAAGCAATTAATCTGTAACATCAACATTGCGTTATGTATAGTACAGGGTAAACATGGTAAGAGAAAAGAAATATTTGACCACCTTGAGGTGAGATGTGATATATGAACCCTAACGGAAAGATTCTTAAGATGTCGAATACTCGGCAAGCCTCGTGTTTGGCAATATAAGAGTTTTCCAATAGAGTCTGATAAGCCGTCTTGAATGAACAGGCATATCCTCCATAGGTTTAGGTTTTGTTGTATAGAACTCAGTAGGCTCAATCCTATACAAAAGTATGACCCCTTTACTTTGTTTTCATTCTATCCAATAATTACTGGTACGTTCTTTGTCTCTTAAGAATAGCAAATATGACACAAATGTAAATTGCATCAATCAGTTAAAAAAATAAACAAAGCTGAAACTCTAGTATTCGGTTTAGACAAATTGCCCTGTTGTTTTAAACACAAACATCAATGATAAGTATATTTACTTACACACTAGATATACCCCAGTGAGCTTTTGAAAATTTGGCGGTCGCTCTGGACAGAAATATACCGCTGAGTAAAATAGTAGGTACAATGGTGATTGGTCCGACGAACCGGAGGAGGAACCCAACTGTACCCGTCAACCCGACAAGACAATGAATCACGCCCACCAGGATCAGACAACCCTGAAACTATCAAATACGTTANTTACTTACACACTAGATATACCCCAGTGAGCTTTTGAAAATTTGGCAGTCGCTCTGGACAGAAATATACCGCTGAGTAAAATAGTAGGTACTATGGTGATTGGTCCGACGAACCGGAGGAGGAACCCAACTGTACCCGTCAACCCGACAAGACAATGAATCACGCCCACCAGGATCAGACAACCCTGAAACTATCAAATACGTTAATGTTATTAGAGGAATAGTTAAGATATATTCGTTATGTTATAACTAGATGAATAAAATTAAGACTTTATATGCATTTGTTAGAACGATCAAGTCGTTATTTATAGGAAATATAAGCATTTAGCGAACCAGTACAATATTGCAATTTGTTATTATAAGCTTATTTGGAGTACAAAAGTGTCTCTGCAACTGCAACAATCGAGAGGACAAGAGTTCTATTAATGCTTTCCGACTTAAAGCATTGCCCTTTCTTTATAGAAAGATAAACGTAACTTTCATCGATGACAAAAACATATTTGAATTTTGTTTTTGATTCTATAAAGTGATTCTATCAATATATCTATTGCAAAATAAGATTTGTATGGAATTCTCCTGTAGGAAAACGAAAGTCAAAAAACATTCAAAATAAAGTTACTGGAAAAGTATGTGTTTTAACCCGATTGCATTATCTATCTACAGTGTACATATAATCTAAAGCGGTGAAGGATTGTGGTATCAAGGAGTTTACTGTAACGTCATCTTTAAATAATAAGAATTGCGCATTTGTTAGTTTCAATACCACAACATCTTGCAAAAGAGAAATTGCAAAGAAAAATTATATATCAGATTTGTATAAATGTCATAAATGTGATCATGTGAATTACATTGCTAATTTATCGCGTAAGTTTGATATTAACTAATTATGTGTGATTTGATCAATTGTTCCTTTTGTGTTAATGATATAATATTTTGGATTTTATTCTCATGACGTCATATTTGTCAATAAGGCTGCGCTATACAATTATGTTTTGTCAGGTACGAATTGCTTACGAATGTAATCTACAAGGTAATAATGTAAATGCTTTAAAGTTTGCACCAGAGATGTGCAAAAAATATGCAGCTTTGATTCAGTTAAGATAATACCTTTCTTATGTTCAATAATAAATCACTATAGGAACTGTTATCATCACATGTGAAGATATAGCGTTTTCTCTGACTTCCCAGTAGTGAAATAACATTTTTATAATCTCCTATTTTACACTTGTATTTGGAAATACCATCTCTCCACTCACCAAAAATAAATAACACATCAGAAGAAAACACTAACAAAACATATGATACATTGTTACATGGAATACCTTCAGTACAATCTAAAAAGAAAACAGTTATAACAAAATAGGGCTTACCTCTTGAAGCTTAGAAAATGCAAGTTCCCTCTTCAGATCAACAATGTTCATTGTTTCATTTATTGGAATATAACTACCATTTGATATGGTGAAGTTGTTTATCTGTGAATCTAAAATAAGAAACATATTCGTGATTAAACACTATTATTGACATCAGGCCCCGGGATCATGAAACAATCTTGAAGCTGACAGTGCAAGTTAAAAAAACTTTCAATTGTGATTTATAAAAATATATTTTTTATTTCTTTCTATTTTTCATGACCTTATTTGTGTTTGCTTAGTTAAAATTTAAGAGACTTTTAGACTTATGATCGTTTAATGTTCCTTGGGCCAGTAAGATTTGCGACAAACGTTATAAACAAGGGTTGATGACAAAGCTTTCTAGCTTTTTGATTGTTTTTTTTATTTATCTTCAGTCCCTGGTGCAATATTTTCATTTACACTTAAGATTCTGTCCAATCAAGTACTGTAACATTACCTTACATAAAACAAAACTGCTTTTTGACATATATGAAAATAATTCATTAGTATTATATGAAACAATATAACATATTAAAATGTAAAAATGACTTACCTGAAATATGACATAAATCCTTATTGAGCGATCGTATGGCCATCAAAGGTATAACATAGTCCGCACATGATACTTGAAACACGGGCAACCTGGCGAGGTAAATACGTATGTGTTAAAGGGGCATCACGCTGAAGTATTTTTTTTTCTTTTTTTTCAAATACTACATAAACATATCAAGTGAGACTCCTTATGGAAAATAACGATCGGATTTGGCTGAAATAGATTCATAAAAAATGATTAAATCTAAGATAATCATCGGTATTTCTACCTGTCTGACCAACGTTTTGTTCAGGGATTTCCCTCTACTAGCGCATGCGGATTGCACACCATTTCTTTGTAAACGAAATAACTGGCCGTGTGAAGTAAGCCAAAGAAAAGTGTTGTACCGTGTCAGCTACGAAGCGAAAAGTTGCCAAATGGTCAAAAGATAGCGCAAGGAGTTCGTTACGGAATCATTATTACAGGTGTGAAGTATTCAAAGGAGAAAATAACTGCCGTAGCAGTTAGTACGGTGCATGTATTCCTTCAGATAGCCGGTTAAGCTGAAATGGAATCGACAGAAAGGCTAGCGCTGTTTATGTTATGAATAAATATCTAAAACTATTAACCTCACTAGTATCTTTGTCTGAGTTTAAACACAGATGAACTTAGTTTAATATGTCAATAGGCATGTATACAGTGGTTTATGCGAACGGAAAGGATAAGTGACTGGTTAGTTTGATTTTGTCATGAGGCCCTCCAAGGGTTAACTGTTGTGATGGCCACGGCGTATTCTGTCTGTGTCGGTACTCGTGATCGGAGTCAAATGAGATACATATGTACGTGCGCTTTTAGATTTACATAATTTATAATATAACCGGGTTCAGTAAAATGGTATGATTTAATTATATTGCTGAATTTAACGATTTTTTGTTTGTTTTTACATACAAGATTTAAATAAGTACTAATATGAATACCCGGCTTCCTCTGGCACAACGACGCAATATATAAAAAAATATCTTGTCGTCAGAAACCTACATTACTAAGTGTTAGCGTATGGAGACAGTGAAAGTGGGAAAGAGATTATACATACATTTTTATGCATGATATAGAAAAAAAAATTGGCCAAAGATATTGAGTTGTACAATGTAATAAAAAAAAATCACAAACGTTTCTCTTTTTCATACGCGTGTAGTTTGTCGTTGCATATATGCACTTTTTACAGAAAGGTTTGTCCCATGGTTGAAGAAAGGTGTTTAGCCCTGTACAGATGTCACATTCCGGTACTAAATTCAATATATATTTATATATATATACTTTATGTTTATGCCTATTATCATTGTTGACATTTAATTGTAAATGTATGACGGGAGAAGGCTGTGATAAATTGTAAAAAACTTGTGCCCCATCTCTTTTATTGGCAACAAATTTATGTTTAAAGCTAAATAAATTTAAATTCTGAACATTGGCAAGTGTGCAATTAACTTCTAATGATGAATAATTACTGTTCAATAAGTTTGAATACGGACTTAGAAATCATATAACTTGGTTTCATAGTGCGGTGGGAAGTTGCAGTTGCCTGACGGCCCCTCTCTGGGGGCCCCTTTGGAAACCGTTTCATCTCGCTCGCACCACTTGTGTTTACTGCCTAGTCAGGTGACGTTATCGGCGCTATTTTTAGCAGGGCTTTCCCGAACAATTCAAGTGGTCAAACTGGACATTTGGAACGGACTATGAATATGGGGATAGCGAGGTAACACATTCATTAAAAAAAATATGTCTCCTCACGTGATGTCCCTTTAAAGTGAAGAAGAGAAGATGGATATATATTTTCAAAATAATAAAAAATCCTGAGAAAATCTTGAGGAAAGTATTAATAAAACTGCCGGCAAACCAACATAAAACTGCCGTATATAGATTTTAACCCCAGTGTAAGATTAGTAAATTTAAAACGAATGCATTAACCCCTTTGCACTATTTCGACTTTCTAAGTAGGTCCTGGTGTTAAACTTAAATAATATATGAGTTTTTTTAAAATATGATTTTATTTTTGATTCCTCAAATAGTCGCCCTATATCAATGAGATTTATCTGGCCCTAAATGACCATATATATCCACGGGTCATTAAACAAACAATCAAACAAACATTAATGAAAGCCGCTTCGGCATTGTGTAATTGTTTTTACCAACAAATTGGTATCTCGAGTTATATATTCCACTATGATGTATCAACAATTTTGGTTACATTTAATCTTTCACGTTAAATGTAACAATAATGTCTTTCTTATCTACCCAAGTGCCCCTAGTCCTAAATAATGCAAGACGTTTACATTTGTTTTTAAAGTAGTACTATTGTGCAGTTAGATATTTGTTTCGAGATGTTTTTTTTATTCATTTCACGGAAACCTGTCCATTTAATCTTTTCTGACGTAGTGCACAGTTGACTTATTTTGTCTGTTCAGATTAGTGCATGAAAACCCACAAACTTCAATTCGACAAGCGCTTTACAATAAACAATGACGTAAAAACAAAATTTAATAGAGGAAGACAGCATAAAATAAACATCATCACACGTTGAACAAACACCATTACTCGAAACGAAACCATTCGTAATTTGCAATGAAACAGGTGGGATTTAACGTCATAAACAGCGTAATGAGTGCATAAAGAATAAATTTAATAATTGCAAATTTACAAATCAGCCTGAAAAAACCAGCATCTTAGACAAAGATACATTTTAAATATAAATTTTGCATATTTTTTCGCGTAAAATCAAGCATGCAAATAGGAACACATGACTTCCATTTGTATTGCAGAAAACTCCGTTCATTCGCGCTTCACACTCGTTGAAGAATATTGATATTTTAACTGATTTGTGAAACATAAAATTTATAACATTCAATAGGAAACCATAAGATATCCTAAATATATACCGACAGTTTCTAATAGTTGTGTTTGTGATTGTAAAACAGACGTTATGTACACACCAACCTTTATAATCATTTATATTCATGTTCACATGATTACCTTCTTACTTAACGTATTATGGTAATTTGCATGCATTTTTTTATCAATTTTAACTAATAATATTATCCATATGTGTTGTAAAGCACTTTAAAGTAATTTTACAAATTATAAAGGGCTCTACACACATGTTGTATTTCATTATTGCTATTAAATTAAATAACATTTTATTTTACTATTATCCTTCAACAACAGAAAAACAGGACAATACCGACTGCGGCCTGTGAATACAGTAAATAGGGTGTTTAGGGTTGTTGCTATCAAAAAAGGTAAAGTTCAGGAAAGGAAAGTCGAAATCGTGTATATCCCTTCAACTGTTGGTATAGATATCGAAACATGATTTCTGATCGATCTCTCGGTCAGAAAGTCTTCATTAATAAGCTGTTTCAAGAGCAATCAGAAAAATAACTATTGTCATAGTGTAATGGATTTATAGCACGAATACGAATTACCTAAAACCAATCAAAACCATAAGGAGAGTTGTGAGGCCACTCATAAACATAGTGGAGCTGAGCAGGTCTGCCTTTATGTCTGGGAACTCATCAGCGCATGCTGCGTCCGCCACGAACGACGATACGGCTAACGATCCTGACAACACTATCAAAACTTGCTGAAAAGACAAAATATATTAAAAGGACAAAACATATTATGACAGCATCCAAGAATTATCCGGTTTGTTTCCAAATCGAGGTAAAAGTCTTCATTGATTTTCTACGCAAAGAAGGTATTTAACATTTCTCATTTTAGAAATAGAAGGAATCATAGATGTCTATTCACCAACAAAATACATCTACGACCAAGTAATACATTTAATCAACTCACTTGAACAATTCATGTTTGTGCAAATCTTTTCTTCCATACAGTTCAGATTCTTTATCTAAAATATTGTACTTTTAACTTGGAAATATATATACAAGTATATTTATTATTTATGTGGGCCACTCGCTACGACTATTTACATCACAATGGAAGATGAGGTCGCAAAGTATTTTTATGTAACGACAAAATTTAAATATCGACCAATGAAATCATATCCAGGTTGAAAATTTATCTAATGATTCGCTGGTGAGAAAATCCTGTAGTAGCTGTGGGAGAAAATAGTGACATGTGACGAATCTCAAACCAACTGTTTTCTTGACAGTCTGTATTACTAGTATTACAAAAACAGATACGAAAGTTAGATTCGTAAATACATAAAAGGAACAGAAAACAGGAACGTGATAAAAAGGAAAGAAAATATCCAAATTAGCCTTCATTTACATGGTATTTTACATGTTTTATGTACTGCTGTTATTACCTGGAAGGCACAGAAAATAGCCATGTGAAATGGTGTCCGATCAGAAACATTGAATAGCAACCTCTTTGGTATATCTGCATACTCTACTGTAATCTTTTCGACTTCCGGTAGCAAACCGTTTTCTGGTATAGTGATAACTTCTGCTGTGTCACCTTTATTCCTGGTAGCAGACAGGTCATCCATCTTGAATTCGCCCATTGCTTCTGAATGTATCTTTAGTAAGCCTGTTGAACAAACATAAACTGAACACTTATAGGAACAGTTGTGCTTGGAATATCATAACTGGGTTGTTTTGTGGCGCAGTGTATAGCACGTTCGCCTTTACCCCGGGCGGCCGTTTTTTTGTTTATCCGATCGGACGTGAAAAAGTAAGGGAGCATCTGCCCGACCACATGTCTTTCTTCATATTTAGATATGATTGTTAGAATCATACAATGTAGTTCATTTGGGATGTGACAATCAAATGAAGCATCTATGTATTTTGGGAAAACAATGTCATGACAAGTAATTATAGCTGACTGAGACATTTGCAAATGTTATTAAATTGTCAGGGATATGTTTGTTCAAAACCCTAAGCGACGCGTCGCGTCGCAGGGTTTGATCTGTAAACATTTTGTCCATTTCAGTTGCTTCCTCATGCGTGAAAGCCTTCTTGGAAATTGAGGCCGCATACTATCTGCCAAAATATAGTAATTAGGATATATCTATGTATTACATTTCACCAGTGAAATATCATGAATTCGCCGTTTGTAAAATATTTTATCTTCACTGCAGTCAAGATAAACAAAATTTTATACCTACACAAGTAAATAGATCATTCTTAGTATTATCCAATCAGAATGGTACTGTATCTTTATTGCAATGATTTTAAGTAAAACGTTCAAATGAAGCGACGGCAAAACAAGTGGCTGTTTTGTTCCACTTTTGCAACACATATTATGGTATTTACATAAGTTCACCCGTTTAAAACAAATTTGTAACTACAACAAGAAAACTAGCGTTATGGCGGAGCGTGTTTTTATAAAATACTTGAGAGGTTACAATTTCTTTGACAAGTTTCCTTCACTAGACATTAACATTAAACATAAAATTTAATCATAAAGGGGCAATGTCTGAACCTTTAACAAATAATACAGTTAATAGTTTATTCAAAAGTTCATTAAAAATATTTTTAAGTTTCACTGACACGTTCTGTCTCTCGTAGCTAGGGCGTTGGGAAACACCTTTCTATGTGTGAATGAAAAGTTTGTCTCGACCAATCATAAAACAGGATAAAACAGGTGTTATACTAATTTATATGATATCCCTCTTCTTGGCCATATTAACTATATTTTCTCGCGGTAATATAATTAAATGTCGCTGTCACAAATGTAAATTAACTATCAATCGTAAGACAGTTTCTATTTCTCGCCCGAAAACATCTTAACAACCATGTTCTTACCAACCTTACACATTTATTATGCAACTTAAGTACTGGGGAGTAGTGTTCAGCCTTCTTTTCAGCGTTTGGTCGATCAGCTGTTCACTTGGTGCGGGAATTTTTATTCAATTTAAGTCCCCAAAATAAAGTTTTGGAACTAATTGTTTTTCCCGTTGGTTCGTTTTCTATTTTCTCTCTCTCCTTTTTCTTTTTCTAGCCGTGATTTTTCCGACAAATTTCTCAGAAACTGATAGTCTGGGTCCAATGAAATTCTGCAATGATCAGAAATGTATTGTTGGTGCGCGTGTCCGAATGTGCAAGAAACTTTCATTTGGCAGCAGCGACCTCTGCTAGCTGTGAGTATGATATTGACCAATTTCTATCATATGTGGTATATAGGTGTTTGCTGTAAGCAAAAGTACAGCGACATTAAATGTAACAACTACATGTTACGAATAAAAGGGGAAATCCTGTCTTACTGACAAGCTAAACGTTCCTGCGATATGGTGTAACCCTGGGACGCGCTCACTAGTTCAGCATCAACGAGCGTGGTTAGTTGCGGGATGGGTGCTCGCCTACACGTTAAACAAATAGTCCCATAAACGACAGATGAAACTGCCAACGACGCAATTATTATTTCACAAGAGGTTTTATCCAATATTCTTAATGTGCTTCTGAACTGGCCGACTGCCATATTTTCTCGCAGTTCTTCTTTGCGGGAATTATGAAACCGACAGCTCCTCATTTGACATTATAGTAGCAACGTTTAACAGTAAACACCAAACCACTATTGTAGCATTTGTTCACCGATAAATATGCCAAAAAAATGTTTAATATTTATGGACTAACACTTGCTATGGTCCGTAACAGTCATGCTTGAGATTTCAATCTTGTAAAACACACATAAATATGAATGTATCAATATTTAAGTAAAATGCTATTGTATACAGACATTTTTTATCTAACCTACACAGGTTTGTACCTCGACCGTAGTTTTCTCGGGGGACTTACTTGTATCGTCGGGGTGTGAAAACCCCGGTGAAGGGGAGCTATAGACAAAAACGAATGCAAATATTGTGCGGACGGTGTGTGAACGATTCATGCATGATGTGCGCACGCTATTTTTGGTGCGTTGTGCGGTCACACAACTGTATAATTTTTGCCAAGAAATATGAATAGAACATAAAAAATCACCAATGAGTTATATATCAAAACGACATATAAAACATTATACTAGGTAAGTCTTTGAAATGGGCGCCCATTATCTTATAGCTCATTTTCCGGTCGAAATCCCTAGCTCTTTTCGGATTACAGCTTACTACTGCCAATCGCTCTATACGTAACTGTCAGTATGATGTGACCGAAATGAATGCTCGGTTGGGTGCCTTCGGCATGGTACTTCGGTGAGATAGCACTATAACGTCGACATCAGACCCGCGCTATCACAAAGAGATAATTACACCAACATACTCTGCATCCAACACACATGCACGCTTACACAACACACATGGAGGCGAGTCATTAAATGACCTATGCAGATATAAGGACAATCTATGCCGTTGAGCGATCATTACTGCCTTTTGTTAACTAGACAAAGACAAGCGATAGTGTAGGGTCTGTCGAGTTATCCTTGCTCTATGTATTGAAACTCCTTAACCTACATAATGTGATATTTCAACTTTCTCGTACTGGTGTCACGGTAATGTGTATATGTAGTTCCAAAACAACGGCTGTGAAAGATAGGAGAAAATGAATCCACTACTAGATTATATCCTATGGTTATGAAATTGTGCATAACAAGGTTTAACTAGGCAACACGACCTATCCATATGTACATGGCCATAAGTACATGCACATGTATCGACTGGTGTCACGTATGTAGGCAGAGAAAACTGAGTCAGAGCACTTGTGGTATACAAAACCAGTATTGTACACAGCAGTCTGTCGTTATAAAACCTCTGGTGTAGAGTTTCAACCTGTTGGACCGAAGATTCATTAGTCAAAATGTCGACTGGGTGAAAAGAATTAGAAACAGCATAGACAACTTGACATGTCTATTTAATATTATATACGTCTTTGTATGTACTCTGCATTTTGCTTTCTGTGTTGTTATGACGTATGATGTCAAGCTATCCGTGTTGTTTTTACCATTATCGGATTAGACCTAACGGGCCTTTTAACCATTTATTCCTGTGCATTTGCTGATGTATGAAAATAAATGTCCTTATATAATTATATATGTATCGTTTTTAATTGTCAATAACCTAAACTCCGGGATAAACGACTCCGCAATAGCCAGTGCCACATGGAGACGTGTGGGAAAATTCATAGGCACTCTCTTCAGCATAAAAACGTCTCCCATTCAACCAAAATAAATTAATAAAGATAGAAATAAAAGATAGAAAATGTCAAAAGTAAAGTTGATTTCCAGATAGGTTCATTTAAACAATATAACAGGAGATTTGAGTACAATGTGTTTTTTCTCTCTAGTTTTATTCAGAATTTTCGCATGAATTCACTTGACCTTACGTATTCAAGATGAATTTTGTACAATAATAGGCCTTCGGTTACCAGCTTACCGAGGGGATGTGCAATTACAACAGCATGCGTCACATACGTAACTACTCTGTTTTTGTTACATAGTTTTTGTTGTATTATTGTCTCATAGTTACTGCTTAAATGTGTTGAATGATATGATACGTAGAATCTCATGTGTCTGTCTTGAAAAATGGGCGGATCGCCCTAAAAAATGACAGATATCTGTGTCTGCACTGTCGTTACTACTGCTTTGCCTATAATATATATAAGAAATACGCATCTAACCAACCATTTGCTTGTTCGGATCCAGTGCCCATATTCGATTATACTGTCGTTATAACTTATAATAAAATATTAGAATATTTAAAACAATAAGCCTGTTGGCTAGGTTATACAATTGTACAAGTTGTGGTGGATTGTATCGGTTCACACCGATTATATAACACCTATGTTTTACATGCATTGGCTTGCAAAAAGTGTTGTGAAAACATATTAATCGCCCTACCATTGTTAACACAATAGAAAAAACGGTAGCGGTAAATCACCATTGTTAGGCAAAATTAGAAACATAGGTAGAATAGTATTTATGTGTTGTTTCTACATGTACATATCTTGAAATAAATGCATATCGTGTAATACTATGTCACAGCAACTCAATGCGAAATTATAAATTTAAGGCACGTTAGTCTAGTGGTAAGACGCCAGGCACGTGACCGAAGGCAGCTCTGGCTGTATGCTCCCCAGGGAGTTGAGAAAGGTATTGGGTGGTTGCGAATTCCCTATAACCACGGATAATAATTTGTGAACTACTTTGAGACGACCAACGAGCTAGGTTGGGATAAAGCGGTATATAAGAGCCTAGAATGATTTTTATTATTAAGGTTCATGTAAACTGTTATGTGTGAGAAACTGTGATGATATTGAATTGATTAATTTCTTAGTATTGATAGGGAGCTATTGCAAGTCATTTACACCATAACAAGATATCAATCTCAAGATTTCTTGGACATAATTAAACATCCTAAACACGTACAAATTATCTTAAAATCCATTGATTAGTGTGTTTCAGACAGCACCTTTCGCGATATTTAGAAGAAAAATTCAGTTGTTGTAATTACACGTATTTCAAAAATATAAACATAATTGGCAAATAGAATATACACTTATCGAGGTTTTCCTACCAATGGATGGCATTACAACTACTCGTTAAATAAGCATGACTAAAATGAATGTGATCGTTTGCATATTTATGGGCGCCGCCATTTTGGTTTTCGAGTGTGTAAAGGTTCAAATTAAATTTTGGGCAAATACAAACGATCCATTCAAATGTACTACACATTTTCAGTCTTGTGCGTTGTCAAGGAACTAGCTGTCAATATAAACCAAGGAATGGTTATTTACCAGGGAATCTATAACAGTGATTTGACATTAACTTCGAGCTGTTATCTTCTCTCTTTATGGTTTCACAAAAACGAAACTAGAGATTTTGCTCCGCACCGAATATGAATAATTTAATGACCAGCAGAGTAATTCTTGTGTTTCGTGTGGACATTAATGTAGTAAATAATTGTATTAACATGCACATATAATTATTATTTTTTTTTATCGAAAAAGTGTTATGATGCTAAATTGTCAGGAACTCCTTTGTGCGGAAGCATTTCCGGCATAGCACGCATGCTATTCATCTCGAAGGCGATAAGTATACTTCATGCTGAATTGGTGAATGTTTGAGGTTTTCAATGTGATCAAGTAAAGCAAAATGTGTGCATTACTTGTTTAATCAATGTATATCAATAGAATCAATGATCGTACCTTACAGTGTTGTTATAACACGTTATTGTAGGCGATATCATGAAGTGACACTGTTTCAAAGGAAATTTTAGAATTAATAACTTTTGTAACCAATTATTTTTTACATTTTGCTCACCATAATGCATTTTTGGTGTGAAATAACACAAGGTGTTACAGGTAGGTAGAACTAGTATTAGTATTTTTACGTTCTATATCAAGTAATCATTTTATGGAAGCATGGAAGAAGCACGTGTGCCTAAAGTACCGAAGCAACTCAAAAACTTACCTGTAATCGTGATGTAGGCTAGTTATTGCTTTCACTCAGTAGCAGCAGTCTCGGGCCGTCATCTGTCCGTCAGGTCTCGCCCAGTGCGTGCCCAAATCACGCAGTCTCTCATTATAAGGTCTCCCACCACCATTACAAACACACACACAATGGGAACCCTGGGCCAACAATCACAACATGCCTACCGGAATAGTGAAACAATAATACAGCGTATAACAACAACACTATCCAATATATAGACAATGTAACAGTCATATATAACAATATTAGATATATTTCTACTAAAACTATGTGATTTATACTGTCTACAGTAGTATATGTCTATATTACAGTATATGATATATGTGAATCCTTCTAGTTATAGACTAGCTGTTTTGTTAGTGTAACAATCCTGAAACAAATGAGGTTATTCAGATTATTGAAAGACATTTGTTTTTCATCATGGCTGGAAAAAAGCCCATTGGAAATCAAAAGGGAGGTTTAGAGTTGCTGTTGGAAAGCATAACAAGCGGCGAATTGCCCGGAGGTCGTTATTAGTAGGTCGCCCAAGATATTCCTATAGAGCCTTTCTTTTAAATACTAGTTAGTCCATGCGTATTTGTCGACGTCGTATTATAACATATCATCAACCACAGCGCCGTACTTTTATTCCATTGGAAAATCCAAATGTCGGTGGGGTAAAATACCGTATACAGAAACTACCAAATGAAAATTTCAAATGAAAATTAGTACTTTAAAAGACATGAATACAAATGGTTACATGATGTTAAACTTGGATTGTCTTCAGAATATTTTCAATGACATTACAAAGCATAGTGTGTTGTGTGAAGCAGCCCGAGAGCTAGTACTGCAAGGTCAGTCACCTATTCAGATAATAAGTGAAGCAAACACTTATGGATTAGCTTCAGTTTTAGTGTTGAAATGCCAAGGTTGCCAGGAAAGATTTACATTTGTAACTAGTCCCAAGTTGAATATGAGTACCAGTGATAGTGAGGGAAGCTGCAGGTCTACATACAGGCATGATGTTAATGTGCGAGCTGTGTGGGGAAGTTTTTGTACTGGAAATGGGGCTTCACATCTGAGCGAAATGCTACCATGGATTCCCCTAGCACTTCCCAGTCAGTTTTTACTAAAATAGAACAAGAGATTGGAGATTTGTGGGAGAAAGAACTTGAAAAAGAAATTTTAGCAGCAGGAGCAAAGGAAAGCGGATAGCCATAGAGAAAGGTGCTATATATGTGCACACGCTGCCAATCTCCGATCATTCCAAAACCTCACAAATGTTTCAAAAATTGGGATCAGAGTTCGCAGGCTATGGAAGCAGAAATTATTGTGGAGGGTTTTAGGAAAGCAGAGCAGATCCACGGTTTAAGATACGCTAAACTTATCGCAGATGGGGATTCCTCAGTACTTGCGAAAATAGGACAAGATGTACTGGTGTGAGGAAGCAAGGTAGAGAAAGTTGAATGTGCAAATCATATGTGCAAAGGTTTGAGGTCAAATCTGGAGAAACTGGTAGACAGTAATCCACAGTACAGAGGAAAGGATCGACTTACAAAGGCAACCAGAGTGAGAATAGTAAGTGCCGTACGGTGTGCCATCAGAATGCGTTCCCAGAACTTTACCACCAACAAATCCCAGAATGCGTTCCCAGAACTTTTCCACCAACAAATCCCAAGCCAGCAAGTTGTTAGCACATGACATCAGGAACAGCATTCACCACATCTTTGGAGACCGCAATCTAGACTGGGGACATTTTTGAAAGACCTCAACACAGAGATGCGCCAGGATATATATATATGTATTCTTCTGGATCGGATTGCCTCCAAAGGTGATTGACTGCTTGGAAATGTAACAACAAATTTAGCAGAATGCTGAATGCGTGTTAGATCCAAATTTGATGGGAGTAAACTGTATAACATTTGCAACAGGGGCTCATGGCACACCAGATGTTATGGAGGATCACTTAGGATGAACTTGGGTCCAGAATGGTCCCCAATAACATGGCAGCAAGTAACTGGCACCTCCCCAGGATACCACTTCAACAAATTGTACAGTTCAAGGAAACGGCAGCTCCAAATTAACACAGAGGTGAAACAGAAGCCAGCAACTAGTGCGGCTAGATGGAAAAAGAAAATGGCATCGGTAATGGAAAGCACTGCTAAAAAGGCAAGGTTGGCATACGGTGCTGAGGCAATTGATGTGGTAGATGATGTATCTGTAGAAGAATTGGAATTGACATAAACATTGTTTCTCAACAAACACAAAAACATTTCGGCCAAAAATATTCAGGCTTTAGAAAGATTAAAACACGACAACAATCCATATCCAAAGTTTGGTAGGATGAGAGGAGGAAACGAATCACAGCATCTTCATTTGGTAGTGCTGTGAAACGGAATCCAAATATACTCATCATCCCATTAGTAAGACGACTGCTTTACGAAACATTCCGAGGAAATGCACATACGCAGAAAGGACTCCAACAGGAAAGGATAACAGTACATGAGTATACTCTTAAGAAGGCTGAGGAGGGTGTTAATGTACAAGTGAGCAACATGGGATTGGTGAAATGTTGTAAAATTAAATTCCTAGGTGGAAGTCCAGATGGCAGGGTGAAGGAAATTGGTGGTGAAACAGTGCCGATTGAAATTAAAAAAAACAACGTGTTACATTCAGCACCTATCAATCTGAATCAGGCAGTTAACAGTAGGAGATTGTTCAAGCAGTCGGTCAGCAAACATTGGAAAGAGGCAGCGCAACACTGCAAAGAGGCAGCAAAACAGTGGAAAGAGGCAGCAAAACAGTGGAAAGATGCAGGAAAACAGTGGAAAGAGGCAGCATATATATCCGCAGTGACTGTATGTAAGAAATCAGAGGAAGATAGCGTGAAAAGGTAAGCAACTATGAAGATATTATTGTTGAGTTTTTGAAGATATCATTTATACTTATCTATCTTCACTATGACCCTGTCCGTACTGCTACAGTAAGTAACAGCTTCAACTGATGATGACTGCAAGCCTCTCATAGCCTCCTAAGGCCATACAAAATTAATTACTGGATGAAAAGGGCGAAAATGAAGAATAAAATAGGTACCTGCCTCATCTATTTTGAAATTGTATGGCCAGAGAAACACGTTATTAACTTTGTATGGCCTAAAAAAAATCACAATTTGTAAATGGATTTTTCTGGTATGTAGTGAAAATATTAACTGTTATCCTGCAAGCGTGTTTAGTCCACGTAGTCATAGCCTGTTTCCTGTACCATTGAAACTGGCATGTGTATTTAATAAACCTGTAATGGGTTGAAACAACAAACGGATGGCGGTATGGCCGGATTGCATCCACTTCTGGTTTTAAAACCAAAAATCAAAAATGTGCTGATAACAAAATGATCAACTACTGTTAAAGGTCATTTAACACTCCTAATTTGTCTTTTCAGAAGTGTTAGAGGAAGAACAAAAATTGTCGGCAGACGGACATTGCATTCGTGGATTAGTGATGAAGTGAGTGGCCAAAGAAAGTGGCACCAAGGAAACGTTCTAACGGTTTTATCTGGAACTGACGGAGCACCCAAAGCAGAGTATAAAATGTTGTACGATGATGATGATGAGCCATGTGTAGTTGATAATCTGCACCAGGACTTTAAAGATGGAAATTTTTATAGATAGTTGAGGTAAATAATCAATGTCCATATCTAAATGTCTACATAAAGTCAACAAAAATATAACATCTGTTTTTCGAAAAACCAGAGAAATGCGCTTAATGTATGCTGGGAAAGCAATTTAAACCCAATTAAAATGGCAAGAATTAATGGTAATTTATTTTTAAGGCAAATTATCTCCCTTAGTTTTCACACACTTGGCTTCCATACTTTTGTGAAAGAAGTTCCAACAAGTCAAATATGGCCGCCAAGATTAATGATGAATTTTTATAAACACATTTTTGAATTTATCAATAAAATTGTAAGAAAGAGCATAAAGTTACATCCAAGTGTCCTACTACCTCACATGAGTTGTGTAGTATGATAATAATCTCTATTTTCGCAGGTTAAGCAACACAAAGGAAGTTTGGCAGTTGTTTGTGAAGGCCGCTTTATAGGTAAGTACAAACTTCTAGAGCAGCCAAAGAGGTTTTCTACTGTGTGCATTGTGTTCCTTAGATCACAAGGAAAACATTGATGTACATTTTGTCCCACTTTATTTAATATTACATGTAATTATGGTGAAAAACACTTAGAACACATATGACTTTACATGGACCTTAATAATAAAACATAGACCTCAGACACAAGCTACTTTTTACCCTACCTGATGTACAAGCATTATTTCCCATGGGAGTAAAATTTGGGAGTGTTAGATTATATACACAGGATGTAAGGCCTTGCTGCTGCTGATAAAACCCAGACCTGTTATGCAAGACTAGCCTCTGGTCATAGCTGTTGCGGTCAGCCTGCTTTCTACACACACACACACACACACACACACTGAAAGACGGACTTTGTAAATAAAATGACCACTAAGGCCAAACTGACTTAATAATTAAACTCACATGTAGCATTATAACTGTAATACCAGTAATATTTATAGTACTGTGCATTTAAATGTATTATAAGAATAGGAATGGATAGAAGAATAAAAAATCAAGAAAGAGTAAATACCGAAAAATTCTATTATTTTTTTTCATTATATCTAGAGATGTGTTTATACATCGCACATGGCAAATACAACTGCTTTCCGATCAGTGTGTTCACAGCTCAATAAACCGTCACGAAAAAATAATGCCCATTGAAAAGTTTTTATCCAAAGGTCNTTACATTTTCTTGTCTGCTGTGTCCAACTAGGCACCAGTCTTCATAAGATCTAAGCTGTAGTGAAGATGTTCAACGACAAACAAAACCCTAACATTATTTTTGTGGATTCGTATATTGATAAAATGGGTCCGAATCGTTCTGGTCTTCGGAGCCCTAAAACGCAGTAAAAAAATTGACTAGGAAACAAAACCAGTGACAACAACAACTTACTATACACGATAAACAGAACGTTTATTAAATAACCGATAAACAATTATATTGACAAACAAATATAACCAGCTATCGTTTTTCACTCTACCCCG